ATAATATAGTTAAAAACCTATTAACTAACAACTAATGGGATAACTTATTTAAAAAGATTAAGAATTACAAAAGATGCAATTGGAACAGTTGTCGTCTTCTACCATTACAAGTAAATCAAATTTGCGAATACGATTTTTAAAACTAAATAATGATGGGAGAGTTCTGATTTCGCTTGGTAGCTTATTCCACAACTTTGGTCCCAGGTAGGCGAGCGAATGTTTACCGTATTTATTGGTCCTAAATCTGGGAATGGCGAACTCTACCGTCCTTAAGTTGTAGGGTGAGCAATGCGTGTGAAATAGCTCGCATATTTTGATGGGGCATAGTTTGTGTTTCACCCTATACATAAGGATAGCGATATCTTGCAGTCTTCTGTTCTGAAGCGTCGTTAGATCACTTTTATCCAGCAATGCTTGGTAGCTTGATCGCTTATCTAGGAAAACTGGGCGTAGTGCTCTTTCCTGGACCCGTTCGAGCTTTCGTTTGTCGGTAGCACTACAGAAATGCCAAGTCAGGTGGCGATAGGTTAAGTAATAAGGCAATATGGCTGTTTTATACAGAGTTAATTTAGCATTGGTAGGGATAATTGTTTTAAGCCTGAAATGATTACGCCAACCCTTTGACTCGCCTTCTTACATATTTCATTAATGTGAGTGTTAAAATTCAACTGTTCATCTATGGTGACTCCTAGCAACTTAAGACAGTCAGAAGATTCGATGGTGTTTCCTTGAAAGTGAAATGGACTGTTATTTTCTGTCCTGTTATGCTTTTTATGATATTATCATAAATTTGTGGCGCTTTCTACCAATCTAGCTTATCTCCTTACTGTACTGTTTTAGTTAATCATTTACCTTAGTTAATTAATATTCTTATGCTGTACAGAGGTGATCCGTTAATCTAGAATCTAATCACGTGATACCCGTATATACATTTAGGTATGATTCCTGTGTAATAATAGCTGAGTTGAATAAAGACTTGTGCATGACTAGAGCTCTGCGTCCATGAGTATAACTCTCAATCGCAATATTACCGAACCCAAGAACTCGACACTTACCTGCGAGGGGAAATTCATAACCATATTTCTCGAAGTACATCGTTTGTAGTTTCTTCACCACTTTATCTAGAGCTTCTCTCTGTCGAATCAAAGAAGGCTCACATCAAAAGTGAAGTAAAATCACTGAGCATACATCAATGACAACTTTAAACAACAATGTGCAGCTTGTTAACACTCAAAAAGTTCATTGGCACTGCGTTACCAGCTTACCCGTCCGCCCTCAGGCGAATCAGGACTGTCTGACGATGTTTTGCACGAACACTTTCGACAGAGGTTCCAGAGTGCAATCAGTGGGATCGACAAAAGGTTGAAAGGGACTGGTATTGGATGATAGGTACTGTAAGTCCTAACAGTAATGGCTCTCTTGAAAGACCACTCCTGGAGTGCATTATCCTAATAATGGAGTAATAAAGAGGGACTTAATAGCCTCGAAGGCTGGTCTAAAAAACAAGTGACACCTACGTGAGCGGAAAAATTTTTTTTGACATATCATACCCAAGAAACAATTTTCGACATCATCTTCATCTAAAGCGTCAGTCGGCCAAAATACATTGATATATGGTCATAGAATCTTAAGAACCTTACGAAAAATGTATTTTATATTTTACGCCAAAAAAAAGTCTAAGTTTATTGTTGAGAAGTTCTCATAATTTCTTAATTCTGGATTATGAACAGAATTAATATACTTCAGCAAAGCAGAGAGACTGTTTAGTACCTGAACCCGCTGATAGGAATTAGAGAGCAAAGCAATCATCATGTTCGCGAGAAGAATTACTGCCATGATTAAGAAGAAGCAGTACAGCACATGAATAAGAGAAACGGAAGGACCGTCGACGGAGTTAAATGCATCCAAGTTAGCTAAGTGCAGTAATGACCAACCAAGGTGTGTCGCCATAGTCCACCAACTGAAGAAAAAACGTATCGAGTAGGATTGAAAAACCATTCAATTTTTTAAATGTATATCGTTATCACCGTCAAAACATCTAAACATCTAGACATCTTCGTCCTGAAAGCTATCGTGTCACTGCTCCTATATAGAGCAGATTTCTGGTCAGCTCATTTGTCAGCCCATTTATTTCTTGGTATCCAAAATGTAACAAGATAACCTTAAAAGTAAGGGATAACAATATTTTTCCAGATCGGAAAACCATAAGGTACCTCTCATGAACGTCAACGGAATAGTTGAGCTAGCTTTTTTGGGCAGGTTTAGGAGGCAAAGTAGAGTAAATTAACAAGCCGCGAAGCCGCGCGAGGCTGGGAAGCAAAAAGGGTTTCTTCAGTCGCACCTCTGCTTCTTGTTCTCGTAACTCTGCTGCCATGAGAGGCGACAGCGTCTTCCATGCAAGTTTTCATGATGAGGCTGGTAAAGTTCGTGGTTTTTCATCAGTACTTATTTTAACAAGTATGATTTTTTCCACTTTTATCCCTCTCGGGAGACCTTAACTCGCTTTTCCCTCGGGTAGATAGATAGCCAGCCGTTAATCACTGTTTGACACAAGTGAAAACCATGGTGACATACTGGGTCGCTGACTTTTTCGTCTAACAATGATTTTTAAAATAATTGCGACGTATTGAAAGCGCGTAATTCAAGTTTAGCCAAAAGTTTGTTTAATATGGTATATATCAGACATTCACGTACAATGTTAAAAATTACAATAACAAACAACAAGAACAATTTTACTCTTACCAAATTAGCCCTGATTCGCTGCAGGCCCTTAAAAAAAAGGACAAAATGGATGATTGAAGAACCGTTGCCATGGTTTAACCAACCGAAATTATCTCATATTATGTATCTGTCAAAGTTACATCACCCCACCTCCCCCCAATTTTATTTCACTCGGTTAAGTAGTTCCGTATAAATTGTTAAAAACATTACTTCCAGAAGTATCTCGCCCCCTCCTAAAAAAGGTTAGAGTGTAGCAAATCACTAACTCCTCAATTTGTAACTATTACTAGCGAAGCGATGCTCTCTTGATATCAACCTATCATGATCCGATGTCAAACCTTTTGTGTAGTAGGGGTGCTAGGCAGTGCCTTTGTTAGGCTTCTTTTTGAGACCTCCTCCCTGATTAATCATAAAGATTGTAAAAAAAAGTGCTTTCATGCAAGTTTGGCATTCTGATGTAAGTACTTTTACTCTCCTATTAGGTTTCCCGTCCAAACAATAAATCTCAGTTGATTAGCTTTTAGCCCACTGTTTCCTACACTGGGCGCCTAGACATACACGAGGTGTCCCTCCATAACGTAAAAGGAAAGCTCTCTCACCCCACCACTATAAAGAGTACCAAATAAATAAGCCCATCAAGTTAGAATCTGTCGTTCACGGGTTCGAGAATTGAACAAGTTCATAATCTGTACTCACAAATCCTTCGCGGAATCTTTTCCTGAGGTATAGGCTTTCTCGGCGACATAAACTTTGGTCATGGCCAAAGAAAATGCCAGAATCGTGGCCAAAAACTGCCACAATATTGTCATGACATCCCGCATGACAAAGAACAAAGCGATCTGTATTTCACCCATTCCCCGCACGCGCTCACTGACTTGACCAAAGGCTCTCAGTGTGAGAAGCATGGCGATAAAGCCATAGAGATACCCTGACACAGCCAAGAGTCTGTTGTCTGATACCTCTGTGGAGTTTTTCCATGTGATTATGCGTAAGACGAAGGTAATCAGGTAGAAAACAAGAATGATAAAGTCAACCACATTCCAATGGTCACTATAATAAAAGTAATGGATATCAACTGCATCAGAAGAGCATTATTTCACATAATCAATGGAGAGATCTTGTGTTATTCACAGGCAAGATAATCAGTTCTTATATATAACGCTATCTGTTGTAACCATGAGCATGAGCTAAGTAATGGCATACCATAACAATATAAACTGGCTGCTATTGATGTAGCCAAACAGTGAACAGCGTCGCATCATGATTGATTGATGCAGCTATGAACAATGACCAGTGCACCTAAGCAGAGGATAGTAGCCCATTTCGTTGGCCTTAGTCAAGATGTTTTAAAATCCTTTCTCCCCATCCTTAAAAAACTAGTATTGTCAAAAATACAACACTAGAAAACGGCCAATCAAATCCTGAATTACCTGAAATAATGAGTAAGTTTCGTTTGCAAGATATCGCCGTCTCCTGGGTCAACTGGTTGGTAGCCATCCTTTCGTTCTTTTATTCCAGCCTTTTTATTTCTAAAAAACTGATCCGCCTCCATTAAAACGCGTCCCAGGTAAAAAACTAAAATGACCCATTCTAGTTGACTGAAGGCAACAGTTGAAGGGGACAGGCAAATGGCGAAGTGAAGACCAAGGAGGGTAAGATAGCTCAAGGTGTCGCGAAAAAAGACGAAATAAGGAGTCGTAAAGTAATCCTTGTATTTCTCTGGAAGACATGATTGCAATTATAGTTATACTAGGAAGACAATGATTGAGACGATAGCTGAGAGTGGACACTATCAAAATAAAACTCGGAGAGCAATGACGATCTCTCAAAAATTATTAGAAAAAAAGTTCAACGGTCTTTGGAAATCTAAGCACTAAATATAGCCCGCACTCACCATAGATGTTCTTTCCCTCGATAGCTGCAAGGAAAGTGAAACATATCAATTATAAAACCAGTCACACTTCCGCGCAGTGGAGAGAGATCTGAGAGCTTTTAATAATATATCACCGCTAAAAACTTCTCAATTGGAATTGTAACAATGACATGTAAAACTTTCCGAAACCAAATAGGAAATAATCATTCTTAGAAGGTGTTCTGTCTTATCATAATGTTAAACCTCCTCAAATTACCTTGTATGACAGCTGTCCCCAACGTCTCGGGTGACCCGTATTCTCCAAATTGACGCGCTATGCCATCTTTAGTTGCCATTCCATTCAATTCTGATAATTTGGCGTATTCCCCGATACCGATGAAAACGATGTTTTAACTGGAGCCACTTAAATTATGAACTCAGTTAATAAAACCAAGTTGTCTTGCAAACTATTAGTTCAAGCATGTTACTTGGTCAAAACTCCAATTCGATGATATTTTGAACCCGTGAGAACGTCTCATAGTCAGAATCACTCGAATTGTCGACATAAGGTGAGCTCTTTCGAGTAAGGCTTGAAAGGTTGCGCAGCCAATCATGGTCGCCAGGAGATAAGAGTAATAAAACATGACATGTTTTCCGGCATAACTAACAAAATAGTATGACTCATAGTTCTCCCAAGGACTCAAGTCAGTTTTCTGGACGTAGAAATGAGATGCAGAAAAGCTATCACCCTCTGCCCTTCACTTCACTTTATCGTCTTTTTAATCAGATCAAATTCTTTTTTTGAGGTATCTTTGCCCAGCATCAAAACAAAACATATTTTCGTTTCTGCAAAATTATCAAGGAAAGCATCACAGGCTATGCGATAAAATCACTGATCGATAAAGAAGACATTCAATAACTGACATCAAGCATCTCAACAACTCCCCAGTTGCGTCCAATCTCAAGACTTGATTCCAGCAATCATAATCATTCTTAAGACTGTTATGATCTGGTGGGAACAAATTGTTTTTATCAACTGAGTTGATAATATTCGCACTGACCAGGGGTATTCGCACTGACCCTCGAAACGGCAGCTTTAGGAACTCTTAGCGGGAGGCATTGACTCAGTTGATAAAACCAAGTTATNAGGAGAACCTCATAGATGACGTCACCGTAAACAAAGTTCTCCTTCATTGTATTTAAACAATACTAGCAACACATCAGTGACGCTCTCGGCTGAGCCTCCTACGCCACTTTTTTGTCCTTACCACATTTTGACGTCATCTGTGATCTAAAACAGAAAAGCCATGCCAAAACAAGGATAAAAGATTCCTCAGAAACAACTAATACAATTCAGGTGGAAAATAAATTCTGGCCAGATCAGCTATTGCGTCGAGATATAGGCATGTTCATCGTCTTTTAATCATTCAGTTTTATGACACATCATTTAGTGGATTCACAATAATATAATTTGCTTTCACTACAGTTCCTCTGTTACTTTGTGCGGACAGTGCAAAGACATTCAAATGACGTGCTGTATAATGAGATGGTACCAAATATAATATTGTGCGCACAAAACTCATAATTATCTTTTCCCCGTTGTAATATCACACAAGGCTTCGTCAGTGGCAGTTTTTGAAGACATTGTTGTCTCTCTTCTTTCCTTTCCTTTCCTTTCCTTTCCTTTCTATGACCTCCACTTCGTCTCGATCCATGAAAAAGAACTCAGCCAATATCCAGCCATCTTACCTCACGCTTGGTCAATAACGCATACGTATTGGTTAGAAACCTTTTTTACTACTCGTTTAGTACCTTCTTTTGCTTCATGTCGATCGCCTCGTCCACCACATCATCAAAACAACTTTGAAATGTATTTCTGGTATCGGCGTCGGCTTTAAGAGGGTCTATTAGGGCTGATGTAAACCCGTCTATAGATTTTTCCAGCATCTCTAGATCGTCCTTCTCCGGGTTTGCATCATGTGCTAAATCTCGGAGTTGTTTGCTGACCTATGTTTGACAAGAAATACAGTTATCCCTGTAATCAAAAGGTCTTTTAAAATGAATGTTATTGTTTCTGATTCCTTGTTAGCCTCACGTTCTTGAAAGTGGTAGGAGAGTTTTTGAAATGTGGGAGAAAGAGCTAAGAAAGAAAAAAAATTGAAAAAGACGTGATTGCAAGTCAGTGTGACATTTCAAGGGTGATAAAGATACAAGTACACTCTCGGATAGTGAACAAGTTACAAGTGGCTAGAGTTTTGAAGCTAATAACTGAGAGAGTAGCAGACGTATGAAGAGCTAGTTATATGGAGTATTGAAATCAAATCACAGTAGTTAAGGATCACTTTTGTCATTTAGTCTGGGGAAACAGCCTTAAGTTAAGTAAGCCAGTAAAAAAGGTAAAGATAAAATTATCAGACCAACCTGGAAAGCTTTGAGTAAGGTATTACTTTTACACCTTGCCAGGGTTTTTGGAGTTACTTTTTGTTCAATCGCATCAAAATCACCTTCACGCAGCACTTCATTCAAATCTTCCTCTGTTTCTGTAAAACAATCAGACATACGCAAGAGTGATACACAAGTGTGAACCTTTAGTGGCTAAACAACCACCAAAGTTACAAATTTCAACATGAAAGATAGAAAAGAGGTAGGTTCGATTTCCAACACCCTCTCAATGTGGCCCTCGTTTCTTATGTGATGAACAGTCGTCAGGTAAGGAAGAAACTTAAGAATAAACAAATTTAGTGCCCGTTGACTTTGTAACACTAATGTTTAAGTGGTCTGTTTATTTGCGTTTTTTTACGTTCCTGGTGAGCTTTCACTCGAACAAAGAATCCAATTTAGCTAGTTGGATACGCTTGACAAAGAAAACGAGCAACGTTAGGACTCGATGTGATTTAATTCGATTTTTTCCAAACACAAAAAAATGCGCTAGGCTTTTTCTAGTCCTTCGTCTATCACATTGCTATTAGGAAGCCAAAATGCGAGCATTGATCACAATAATCAAGAACAGTTGAGATCCACACTGCAGTATGCTGCAAATGGCTTTAACTTTAGCCATGCAAGTGTGTCAGCCACGAACCGAGTAAACTTTTCGAGCCTTTTTCTTTTTGGTGATTATTCTCTTCATCAGCCCAACCCAATAATGGCGATAGCTTTGGCAATTTAATTCAAGAGAAACCAAACTAACCGTATCAAAAAAATTCTTTAAAAGGTAGATTAATCCTGAATCAAGACGGGTTATCATGAAGCTCACTCATTCCTAAGACTCTCTGTGATCATACTTACCAAAATCAGATTCATTCTTGACCCGGGAAGCCTCGATACTATAATAACAATAATAATAATAATATAGTTTATTTCGGACCACTTGCAGCCTAAGGCTGAATTACTGGTACAGTTTTAAAAATATACACACTGGAAACCTAAATAAATAAATACACACTATACTTTACACAGGTTGATACTTAATGGTAACGAAATTTTTAAAACACTCAGTTCTGACAAGTGTGCGGTGAGAAGATTTGCCTGATCGCAGACACATTTTCGTTGTGCTGTGAAGTACCCGCTCATGAATATGGGGGTATAAGGGATGGCCTGGGCGAATTTTACGAATAAACCGCTCGCATGCAGCTGCGCGGCGCGCCGACAAGGTCTGAATGGCGGCCTTTTCAAGCGTATGATCGTATGGAAGGTCAGGCCATATAATAGAAAGAGCCCTTTTCTGGACGTCTTCCAGTGCGTTATCCAGGTACTTTGGCAAGTCAGCAAACACAGCTGACGCGTACTCCAATATAGATCTTACAAGTGCACAGTATATGGCAACGATGTCTTTNNCAAGATCTTTTAAAACTGTAGGGAGAACGCGCGTGAGTGTAAAACCTTCAAATACTTTAGCAAGCTGACACGTGAGAGATAAATAAACTTGGGCGGGGTCTGTTTTGGAATGGGATGAACGATGGCACACTTCAGCAACGGAGGGATGAGGCCGTCTTTCAGAGTGGCATTATAAATGTTAGCAACCACAGGAGCTAACTCAAACGCGAAGACCTTAAGAATTACACTTGGTAAGTCATCGGGACCACTGGCTTTCTTGATCTTTGTCGAGGTAAGTGCTTTGTAGGCTTCGTTCTCAGACACATACAGCTCTTCAGGAATCTCAGTAACAGTTATATTAGCCGCGTCCGACGATACGATGGGAGTGAAGGATGACGTAAGATCACAAAAAAAAGAGTTGATCCTGTCCACCAAGACATCAACGGAATCGATTGAAGTTCCATCAATCAGCTGGCTGTACCACTGACCCTCTCTGCTAGAAATCCCAGGCAATGATTTCACCGATTTCCACCATTGTCCTATATTAGAATCTTTCAAGCTCTTCACCTTCGCTTTGTAAAACGCCTTCTTTGACCGCGATATAAGACGGATGACGTTATTGCGCCAGCGTTTAAACAGGAATGAGTCTTTTCCGAATTTCGAGAGGTATTTTTGCCTTTTGTCAATCGCAGCTTTAATGTTCTTATTAATCCAGGGTTTATCTGATAGGCAAGTGCGCGAGCTTTGTATAGGGAGGAACGTGTTCACAGACGTCAGTAATGTACGATGGAAGTATTCAAATTTCTCTAAACAGCTCTCAAGTGAAAACAAGTCACACCACGAGAAAGCTGTTATCCAAGCGCCGAATGCTCGTATACAACTATCTCTTGTGTCCCGGCGATAGCTTCTTTGTATCAGTAGCTAGGCAAAGATGCCCGGAGGAACAAGAAAACAGTAATGATCACTAGAGCTTAGCTCTGGTAACTGTTTAGGTGACAGAAAGAGTTTCGGATGACTGGTTAAACACCAATCAAGGATGCCTGTATCGCGTGTAAGAACTTTAACAATTTGCGTGAGACCGCACGTTCGTTTGAAGTGGGAAGCTGAAATATTAGTGGAGGTGTGATTAAAATCACCAACGATCCAAAGCAGGCAGTCGGGATGGTCACGCATGTATGAATCAACAACAGATTGTATAGGAATATACAAGCGAGTGTTATCATCAGATGTTGCTTTTGGAGGATGATAAATTACACCGACGAGAATTATGGAAAAACAGCGTGGAAGACGAACAGGCCGTATTTGAAAAACCAGAGGGTCTAGGTTAATACGCCGTTCAGTTCACATTCTGGGAGACGTTTACAGGGCATAGTACAACTAATATAAGCAGCCAAACCACCAGCGTGCGATGGACGATCTTTTCTGAGGAGCACAAAATCACGCAGGGATACTGCAGAATCCGGAATATCGTCAAAAAGCCATGTCTCTGTAAGACAGACCACATCAACATTATTTTGCACGGCCACACACTCTAGTTCATCGATCTTCGGTAACAGTGAACGAACATTGCCAACCAGAAGGGTGGGAGTAGAGGCACGTTCCCGACGAGATTCATTTCGATTCGCGTCCTGAAAGGTGTTTACATTCCAATGCAAATTGCGCTGCGTCTCAACAGATAATAGACCCGGCATCGTGGACAGAGACTTCGATAGAGATCTTTCATATCTTTCTTTAACCTTCTTTCCAGAACGCTTCCCTCTGTATCTAAGGATATTGAAGCTTTTCAGGGTTTGAAAAACCGCTCGGTCACCAGGTTTCATAGAGTTTGACCGAAGACATAAGAGGTCGTGCCTTGAATACTGTATGACTTCTGTTTGATGAATATGGTAATTTCTGGCGGCGGGAGTTTTCAGAGAAGGAATTTGAGCAAAGTCAGACATATAAGGCCCAGGATTTAACAAGGCCGGCTGATACACTGTAGTATCGGTTGGAGGATCATGTCCAGGAATAGCAACGGCGGTCAAACCGTGCTTTGTCCATTTAGTCGCTGCCAACGAGTAGTGATGGTAGCCAGTCGATAGTAGACTGATTCGCCTGGGTTGAGGTCCGACATAAACCAAACTCATAGAGCAAGCAGCAGCATTCTGTCTCAACCAGCA